ATGCGAACGAAAAGCAAACGACGTCTCGCAACGTGAGGTCATGTTTGTAAGGAAGGAAGAAGGAAGGAACAGAGGGAGAGTAAGACCTGGAAGAAATGATGGAAATATCGTGTGTAATGCTCTGGTTTATTTATTTCTGAGAGACAGAGCGTGAGCAGGGGAGGGTCAGAGAGAGAGGGAGACACAGAATCGGAAGCAGGCTCCAGGCTCTGAGCTGTCAGCACAGATCCCGACGTGGGGCTCGAACTCATGAGCCGTGAGATCATGACCTGAGCCGAAGTCAGATGCTCAATTGACTGAGCCCCCCAGGCGCCCTGCATCATTTTTTTATTTCCTTCTGAAGTGTCTCTGAGCGTCCAATTGTCTCGCACAAACCGGGGAAGCTCTCAGTTTGCAAGCACAGCATGAAGGGGTTCTGTGTCTCCAGTTCCCACATCCCAGCATCAGGGACGCTGGTTGGGAACACGTATGTGCAAAAAGAAACATAGTGAGGGGAGCCCGGGTGGCTCAGTCGGTTGAGCATCCGACTTTGGCTCAGGTCGGGATCTCACAGTCCGTGAGTTCAACCCCTGCATCAGGCTCTGTGCTGATGGCTCGGAGCCTGGAGCCTGCTTCGGATTTTGTGTCTCCCTCTGTCTCTGCCCCTCCCCTGCTCACGCTCTGTCTCTTTATGGGTCAAAAATAAATACTTAAAAACATTTAAAAAACTAAAGGAAACACAGGGAGAAAGTCTCGTTCTGCCGTCTTTGCCCCGGTGGCTCTTTGAAACCCAGATGGGGTCCGAGGGGCGCATCCCAGCCTCCGGTCAAGTGTGCTGGGCATGAGGCCGGGAAGCTGGGCTCAGACACAGCACGCACAGGACGCAGAAAAGGAGATGCGACCCCTGAGCCGCGCGCGTCCCCGCGGGGTCTGAGCCGGTCGGCAGCCTCTGGGGCTCAGGTCCCCTGAGGAGGACCTGGGGAAAAAAGTGTAAGGGAGTAAACGGGTCACCGGCCACCTTATTTGGTACCTTTGCAGGATGCGCAAACCGGGCCCATCAGCTGCCCCGCAGCGCCACCTGCTGCCGGGCGGGAGGTGGGTCCCGAGAGGTCCGCGCGTCGCCGTGGCAACAGGAGGATGTCCCCCACACGCGCCCCCTCCCTCCCGCGCAGGCTGTCCTGACATGAAACAGGAAAAAGCCAGGGCAAGTGCTTCCTGGCGCCCTGGAGGGTCCCTCCGGCCAAGCCCACCCCCAACGTCCTGCTGGGTCTGCCTGACCCTAAAAGCCAACCTTGTCGCCGTAGCCACGAGCACCAGTGAAGCTCCCATGTGGCCCCCTCTTAACCGACCATCTCGCGGCCTCAGGGCTGTGGACGTGTGGGGCTGGGGCCCTGTGAGCTGGGGTGTCCCGGGCACGGAGCCGGGTCTGTGGTCTCCACCCACCGTCGACCCCGTCCTCAGAGTGACAGGCCAAGATGCCCTTGCCTTGTGTCCCCCCAGGAGGACACAATCACCCCCGTCGAGAACCACCGCTTTGGGAGGTTTAAGATACTCCGGGCATCATGGGTTGTGCAGCCTCTGTCTTCGGTGTGCAGGGTGGGGTCCATCAAGGCAGCTGTCCTGCCGAGTGCTGAGTGGCCGCGGATGCTGGGATCGGGGGCCCCAGCGCCAGGCTGTCCCCCCACAGCTCACGTCCCCAGGTGTGGCATCCCCCAGGAACAATGTCAGCTTTAACCAGACCAGCTGGACCCCCCCCCCCCAGCATGGTGCACTTTAATGGGCCACCTTGAAGTCACGGGTCCCCAGGCTTAATTCCCTAAGTCCCAGAGCACTTGCCAGTTTGTGGGCCGGGAATTACTTTGTCTGGGCCACTCAACGCGTAGATTCAGGGCAGAAAACCCTGCACCTGGTCCTGAAGAGGTTACGATTTTGGGGAAACACACACAGAGATACATGCCCATTATTAAAGTAGTGAAGTTTAATCTAGATCAGCCAACTTCATAGATACAGAACGTAAGGTGGGGGGTGGGGGGTGGAGGGACCAGGGACTGGGGACGTGGACGGAGAGCTGGTGTTTCACGGGGACAGAGCTTCAACCTGACAATGAGAAAGTTCTGGACACAAACAGTGGGTCTGCCTGCACGACCAGGCGAATGTCCTCAATGCCAGCTCGCCATGCACCACAGAAGGCTTAAAACGGCGAATTTCGTGCTCTAGCTTGCCACACTGAGAGAAAAGTTAACATAAATTGCCATGAGGACGCTGAGGGAAATAAGTCCGACAGAGGAAGGCAAACACCATATGGCCTCACTTCTCGGTGGAATCCAAAAGAAAACCCAGCAACGACCAAGGTCATCGATGCAGAGGACAGAGCTGTGGTGTGCAGGCGTGGGGGGGGGGGGGGGGGGGGGGGGGAACGGTGGTCAACGGGCCACAAACTTCCAGGCGTCAGTGGACTGAGTCCTGGGGCTTCATGTTCAGCATGGCGATTATGGTGAACTGCACTGTGTCATATACTTGGAAGTGGCTAAGACATCAGATCTGAAATGTTGCCAACGACACCAACAAAACGTAACCAGGGCGAGGCCGGGGCGGGGGAGGGGGGTGTGAATTAGCTCAGTTCTGGTTGTCACTGCACAATGTGTGTGTACATCAAATTACCACATTGTACAGCTTAAACGTGTATAATTTTGTCAATTATAGTGTCAGAAAGCTAGAAATGAAATAGAATAGAATAGAATAGAATACAATAGAATACAATAGAATAGAATAGAGTAGAATAGAAAAGAATAGAAGAATAGACTTGGATATAACAGAAGAGAGAATAAAATAGAATAGAATAGAGAACACAATAGAATGAGGTATAACAGAATAGAGAATAGAACAGAACAGAATAGAACAGAATACAGGATATGATAGGATCGAATAGAATAGAATAGAATAGAATAGAATAGAATAAAAAGAATAGAATAGAATAGCACAGAACAGAATACAGGATAGGATAGGATAGGATAGGATAAAACAGAATAGAATTGGATATAACAGAATAGAGAATAAAAGAGAATAGAATAGAACAGAACAGAACAGAATAGAACAGAACGTAGACTAGGATAGGATAGAATAGAACAGAATAGAATTGTATATAACAGAATAGAGACTAGACTAGACTAGACTAGAATAGACTAGAATAAAACGGAACAGAACAGAATACAGGATAGGATAAGATAGGATAGGATAGGATAGGATAAAACAGAATAGAATTGTATTCTAATAAAGAATAGAATAGAATAGAATAGAATAGAATAGAATAGAATAGAATAAAAAGAATAAGATAGAATAGCACAGAACAGAATACAGGATAGGATAGGATAGGGCAGAATAGAACAAAGCACAACAAGGCAAACTCCACCGAGTGATGCACATCCCACAACCGTGAGCAGAGACCCCCCAGTCCCTTGTCAAGCCCCCCAAACGAGGAAGCCCACGGAGGTCGCCCTTTTCGGGGGTGCTCGGGTCGGGCTGCTAGCTGCAGCCGGCAGGGAGCCCCGTCCTGCCTAGGATGACATCGTACAGGCCCCCGGTCCTCCTGTACTGCACGTCCGGGAAGCCGGCAGGGCCCAGGAGCGCGAGGTACTGGGCAGGGGTCCTCTCCCGGCCCTCTGTCTGCACGAGCATGTTCAGCGAGTAGAGCTGTGTGGTCAGAGGGCCCCGGCCGTCCGCGTCCAGGAGGCTTTCAATCACCAGGACAGCGCCCCCTGTCACGGGGACAGGCGGCCGTGAGCAAGGGACAGTGACAGGCCGGCCTGAGGACCCCCTCCCCTCCTCCCCGGCTCCTGTCCAAGCCCCCAGCCCCTCTGAGTCCCCTGCTGCCCTGGGTGCCTTATGCCCTCATCGGGGCCCGCACCCGATGCCCCCCGACCCCCCCCCCCGGGCACCAGCCAGGTCTCCACCAGGCAAGAGAAAAGCGTGTCCACAAAGTGACCCCCGCCCGGCCACACGGGGGGGTCCAACCAGGAGAGAGCTGTGCACCATGAGAGCCTTCGACTTCCCGTGGGTTGAAGTGCGATGCGTTACAGGACGAGTATGCACGCCACAGGGTTCAATGAATGGCCTGACCCAAACGAGACCTCAGCAACACGGCCCCCTGAACGGGGTCCCCACTCTGTGCCGACGCATCGCCCCGCGAGCTACCTGGTTTGCAGGCCCGACGGATCCTCGCCAGCAAACGGGCACATCGCGCGTCGCTCCAGTCGTGCAGGACCCTCGCCAGGATGTAGAGCTCTGCCTCCGGAAGGGGGTCTTCGAAGAAATCTCCTGCGGTGCGGGCAGGTGGCCTGGGGTCAGTGCACGACTCAGCCCCGCCGGTCGAAAACGGCACCCAGCACGGCAAGGCCACCTGGGCCCTGGCACATGGTCCCCAGGGGTTCCCAGCTGCGACCCAAAACCCGGCCCTGGTGCAGAAAAGTCACGACGGTGTTTGGGACCCCTCTCGGTCCCTCCGTCCTTCGGACGCGGGACCCGGTTTCCATTTCCATCTTCTTTGCGAAGGTCACGAGCACACAGGTCCCTAAGCACAGATTTCAGGACGCCCCAGCCAACCGGTCGGAGGCTCCCATCGCGGATGCCCTGGGCCGTAGAGGGTCGACCGCACGGCCGGATCGCGCCCCAAGCCTAAGATTCACAGGTCCTGAGCGGCCTGGGGGCGCATCCCCCGGTCCCCGTGCACACACACAGCACAGGTGAACCCACCTTCCCAGAAGCGGATGCGGTCGTCCTCCAGGAATGAGAAGTGCTCCTTGGCCGCGTGCACGACATCGGGGGTGTCGAAGACGGTGACCCGACACCCAGGGTACAGGGCCGTGCACTCCTTGGCCAGAGCCCCGGAGCAGCCTGCAGGTAACCGGGGACAGACGACAGGCCCCTCGATGCATCCGGGACCACACCCCAGGCAGCTCGGCCCAAACCCGCGAGCCTCCAACCTGCCCCCAGAACCCGCGTCTCCCGGGGGCTGGTGCTCAGTGACGCGGGCTCGGACGCGAACGCGGCGCGCCACGGTGAGGGCAAGAGCGTTTGCTCAAAAGGCACAGAGGGTCGGCAGACCCTCGCTGCTAACGCCTGGACCTCAGCTGAGCCCCACGTCCGCACCCTGTGCGGACAGGACAGCCCCCCGGCCAGGCCCCGGACCATGTTCCGCGTGCACCTGCAGGCACCCGCTGAGCCAGGCCGCGTCTGCACCTGCGTGGCCCGTGCACGGGCGGGATCAGCGTCCCTGGGAACACAGACTGTGGGTCCCGCCCGCAGGCCCCGGGTCAGAGCCACAGAGGGCAGGTTGTGCTCGGGGAGGAGCTGACGTCCCCACAGGTGCACGGGAACGGGACGCCTCCTCCCCGACCCTCAGTGGGACTCCCACCGTATTGCCTCGCGGGCTCACAGGGCCCCAGTCCCGCGCGTGGCGCCCCCGCTCACCGCCGACGTCGCAGATGAGCCGGAACGGAGACAGGTCGAAGGCCTCCAGCACCGCTCTCCCGCTGACGCTCCAGACGTCCTGCAGACCGCGCATGAACTGCACACGCTCGCCCTCCGACCTGCACGCAAAACCGGCTCGTCAAGGCCACGCCACAGCCCGTGCGCCCATCGCGGACAAGGCAGGGCTCCCAGCAACCAGCCGTGTGCCACAGGCAGGTCGGGAAGGCGCGCGTGCGGGCATCGACGTGTGTGCGTCCCGGACAGTGCGTGCTGTCGGGAGCCCCTGCTCGGCCGCCCAGCAAACCCGCCTGAGGTCACCTGCTGTGGGGCTGGATGTCATGGTCCTTGGTCTCTGGAAGCCACTCTGGGGGCCCATTGCCACCAGAATCGGGGTTCTGCTGGTTTGAATTCAGGGAGCTCAGGAAGGTGTCCCACACCCCATGTGAGAGGTCATCGGGTCCACGCACCCTTGGGCAGTGAGTGGCCCCAAACAGCGGGAGCCGGGGACATGGGGACAAGGGTGGCCAAAGAAGCAGGGGTCTTGGAAGGACAGGAGGGGAGCGGAGGCACAGCCCAGCGGACTTCCCAGCCCCTGCCCGTCCTTCTTTCCCGGCCATTAGCCACCCGGGAACCCTGGAAACAGCCACTGGGGCATCAGCAGCTCAGAACTTCAACACCAGACCCCACGTCCACACCACACCCGTGTTCAGACTGGAGCAAACCCACTACCTGCGTAAGTGTGCCCCAAGTAAAAAGTGTGCCTCGTTTTTGCACATCACTGATGCTGGGCATCGAGCCCTGTGAAGGGATGGACAGATTCCCACCTGCTCAGGAAACTCACCAGCACAGACATCACAGCAGCAAAGTCGGCTGCTTTTTTTTGCTTTGTTTTGTTTTGTTTTCAGTATCAACTTGCTTGTGTTTTGCTCTGTTGGAACATGGATTCAGCCCTGCGAGGATGTGTGACATAAACGTCATCCTGTAAGCGGCCACGTGGGGCATTACCTGTAGATGGCCATGAAGAGTTCGTTGGAGGGAACCCCAAATGCCTCCTGGTACTGGTTCGTGCCATCCCTGCAAACAGGCAGGACGCGGTCATCCAGGGCCTGACGCAGTCGGGGAAACCAGCAGACACTCACCAGGGGTCGAACTTCCCACCTCCCGTCACAGACAGAACACACAGGGGACAGAACTCAGTGACCAAACGTGGGCACGGACCCCCTTCTGGTGCGGAACACACGCATGTCCAGGGCCACGGGCCACACGTGTAGCCTGGCTTTGCCGTGTGAGCGAGGAAGGACAGAATCTAACGACCGCGTAAAGGGAGCAGGAAGTGATGTGCGATTGGGCGATGCTGAGGCCAGAGGACTTGTCGGCCGCCATCTGGGGACACAAGGGCCCATGCTATGCTATTACCAATGCCTATCAGTATCTGTCACATACCTATACCTATTCATC